CCCTGATCAAACTTTTACATTTTTAGTACCCAAACAATCAGCTCAAAAGGTAGAGCTTAATGCAGTTTTACAAGCTTTTGTGATGTTTAAAGATTCTGTATTTAATTTATTTTCTGATAGTCAGTATGTAGTTAATGCTATAGTATCTCTTGAAGATGCTGGTAGGATTTCCCCTTCTTCTACTGTTTTCTCTTTGCTTTCCACTATACAAAGTCTAATCTGGGACAGAAAAGATCCATTCTTTATAGGACATATCAGGGCACATACAGGATTGCCTGGAGCCCTTAGTTTTGGGCAATGATTTAGCAGATAAATCTACACATGACATACATATTTTCTCTACACTAGAAGAAGCTATAAATTTTCATAAAAAGTTCCATGTCAATGCTAATACTTTACAAAAGCGTTTTAAAATAACTAAGGAACAAGCTAGACAAATAATAAAACAATGTCAAAATTGTGTGACCTTTTTACCACAAGTTAATCTTGGAGTCAATCCTAGAGGATTGATACCTAACCATATTTGGCAGATGGACGTCACACACTTGCCAGAATTTGGAAAATTAAAATATTTGCATGTTACAGTTGATACTTCTTCTGGATTTTTGATGGGCTCCCTTCATGCCGGAGAAAAAACTAAAGATGTTATAGCTCATTGCTTACAAAATTTTGCCACTGTGGGTGTTCCAAAACAGTTAAAAACAGATAATGCCCCTGGTTATACTTCTACCTCTTTTAAACAATTTTGCTCAACATTTGGCATTACTCATATAACAGGAATCCCATACAATCCACAGGGACAAGGCATAGTTGAAAGAGCTCATCAAACTATTAAAATGTACTTATTAAAGCAAAAAGAAGGAATTGGGAAGGGGTATATATTCCCCAAAGATAAACTTAAAATAACCCTTTTTACTCTAAACTTTTTAAATTTGGATTCATCAGGACTTAGTGCTGCGGAAAGGCATATGTGTCCCAAAAATGTACATAAGCCCAAGGTACTTTGGAAGGATATTCTAACAGGACAATGGAAAGGTCCTGACCCAGTAATTGTCTGGAGTCGGGGGTCTATTTGTGTGTTTCCACAGGGAGAACAGCAGCCGATTTGGATTCCAGAGAGATTAACCAAGGTCCTGACCCAGTGATTGTCTGGAGTCGGGGGTCTGTTTATGTGTTTCCACAGGGAGAACAGCAGCCGATTTGGATTCCAGAAAGATTAACTAAAGCGATTTCTACAGACCAAAAAGAAGATGATTTGGCTCAAATCCATAACAACTGATATCCAAAACTCCAGTTTGGCTATTCTTACATCTGCAACAGAACCAGGATGCTTTTTTCAATATCTATTTTATTATTGCCCTTTGCCATATCATGAAGTTCTATTTTGTTTTTTGAGCTCATACAGACCTAGGTTAATGTTTTGCTGATCAGTTCTATTTTTTGACTATAGAGTTTTTAAACATTGCAATGGAGATTTCACCTGTAAAAAGTTATAAGGCCTTTACTATAATGTTATGTGTTGTATGTATTATATTATGTGTGCACACTTGTGTTTTGTGTTATATGTTTGAATGTACGTATGTCCATATATCATATATGATGAGCGCTCATGATAAAATGGATCCAAATTTTTTTTTTCATGTGATTTATATGGTTTAATTTAAATTGGGTAAACAACTGTTGAGGATTGTTTTAATATGTAAACAAAAAAGAAGGTTAACAGATCTGTTTGTTTACTTTCACCTTTCCTTTTCATTATATTTAATAATTCTCTTAAAGACAATGTAAATTGTTAAGAAAATTGTTTTCTTTTAGTGCCTTCTGTAATGTTACATAATTTTTTCTTTAGCCATTATTGCCAGAATTCCTATCTTCATCCCAGTGCCGGTGAAGACAATGTAAATTGTTAAGAAATTGTTTTCTTTTAGTGCCTTCTGGAATGTTACATAATTTTTTCTTTAGCCATTATTGCCAGAATTCCTATCTTCATCCCAGTGCTGGTGAAGTCAAAGATAAAACCAATCTACAGCTTCTACAATAGCCATCACTGAACTGCTTGCAGAACTTGCCTGGACACATTGTGAGCTCACCTGTATGCATTGTGAACTATCTGTTGGTTCAGCGACTTGTGGTAGTGTTGGGGTATTTTTGCTGATGATGTCACCGGTGGTACAATTTTTCAAAGGAGCCCTCAATTGGCTTAATGTCATGGCATTTTGCATCCTCCTCTACTAGTGATGGTCTAAAATTTGGGGGCCAAAAGAGGTGAGGCAAAGAACCTCACCCCCCCACTGGTGCAAAGGCCTATCCACAAGTATAGCTATATGCTGGACCGGTAGTCAGTGACGGGTATGATCCAATTGCAGTGGTACCAACCTAAGACAGGAGGCTGACGCCTAGAGGTCAGTTCATCCGATGACGGGTAAGGACCATATGTTGAATTGGACTGCCTAACAGACACGGTCCCTAAGCCACATGCTTGTTGTTTAAACAGAGAGGGGGAGATGTTGAGAGCCACAGCCGAAGGGGCCCCAGCAAACTTCCAGCTGCCAGCAAACTTCCAGCTGCCAGCAAACTTCCAGCTGCCAGCTGATGATTGGCTCCTCGGCCCCAGCAACATCTAGCTGATTGGCTCCTCGGCCCCAGCAACATCTAGCTGATTGGCTCCTCTGCGGTGATGCTCATTGGGCTGTTTCCCTGCCCTTTCAGACCACGGAGCTGCTCATTGGGGGACTTTTTTGGCTCCGCCCACGTGACCCAGCCAATTGGCCTCAAGAGCAGGAGGATTGTGGGAGGTGGAGAGAAGCTTGGGTGGGAGAGAGAGGCTTGTGGAAAGCCGGTGGTGGCAGTTGAGGCTCTGAGGGTTTTTCCTGAGAGGCTGTTTTGTTTGGCGTGTGTGGTTCTAAAAATAAAGTTAGTTTCTTTTGACAAGTGGCTCCTGATTGTGCCCAGCCAGACTGCAGCAGATTGTGATTGAAATCAGAGGGGCTCTGGGAATGTCATTGTCTTCTTGGAAGGTCCTGCAGCTTGTGAAGAAATGTTTGCAGCATGTTCCCCCACCAGAATCTTGATGTTTTGCAGCCTGCACGTGGCAGCAGGGTGCCCTGTACTTCCCCAAAGAGAAATTAATTTTTTTTTCATGAAGGAAGGGGCCCAAGAAGACAAAAAGTTCCCAACAGCCTAAGTGTGCTAGAATGAGAAGTCTTTTAGAAAGTGAATTAGAGGGAGGGGTGGTGGCATACCCCTGTAATCCCAAGCATCTCAGCTCTGCTTGGGAAGCTGAGGCAGGAGGATAGAGTTCAAAACCAGCCCCAGCAATTTAAGGAGGCCCTAAGCAATTTAGTGAGACCCTGTCTCAAAATAAAACATAAAAAGGACTGGCTCAGTGATTAAGCACCCCTGGGTTCAATTCCCAGTACAAAAACAAACAAACCAAAAAACACCCACTGTCAACCCAGTCACAAAATTAAAAATAACAATAGGGCTAGGGATGTAGATCAGTGGTAAAGGCCCCCTGGTTCAATCACCAGTACAAAAAAAAGTGAATTGGTCACTTTCCTACCCCACCCTATGCAAACACAAAGTAGTGGGACTTATCCATTAGGCAGAGTAGCTGCAGTGCCTAGAGCCCTCGATCCTTTCAGGGGCCTATGAAAATGTCTTCATTTATTTTTAAATCAGAAGAAAAATGTTAACATAATCAAGTCTAGATTATATTCATCTTCATACCAATGCAACTGTAAAATACAATTTTAATTTTTTTTTCATGAAGGAAGGGGCCCAAGAAGACCAAAATGCCTAGGGTCCTGAAAATTCATAATGTGGCACTGCCACAAAAACGGTCTTCATAACTTCACCCTCCTGATGAGTCTTCCAGAAACCAGTCCACCAATCATTCATACAGTGCCTGTCCTGTTAATTTCTCCTCTGCACTGAGCAATGTGAGGAGGTGGGCTGGGAAACCCAACACTGCTAGACCCGAACCTCTGGTTTAGGAAGGCTCAGCTGGAGGAGGAGGATACCCGGCATCCAGAAATGTAAAGACCAATGAGATCTAACAGAAGGCGTCTAACGGGCGTGAGCGCGTACTCTTTGAACCTGCAGGGCACCGCACCACTATATTCTGCCTGGAATACAGTTATTTATTCATTTGAATTAAGACAGCACTACTCACTAGTACCATTGGCAAGTTACCTAACCTTCCTTTTGTGTAAAATGGAAATGACATAAGTAGTGGTTGTGAAGTTAAAATTAGAATAAATCATGTACAGTGCCAAGCATTGGACCCATTATTATTGGTTATTCTTATCATATTAAGAATAGTAACCGTTCTGTAGAACCTGCAAACATTTCTTGGAGGGAGAATCAAATTGCCTTCAATCATATCGTGGTCTCTTTACATTAGATACGTCAGTGGTGAGGAAGAACTCAGAAAGATAGTTCTGGAAAAAGGGGGAGCAGATGGGCGCAGTTGCAGGCAGACACCTGTAATCCCAAGGGCTTGGGAGGCTGAGTCCGGAAGATCGCGAGTTCAAAGTGAGTCTCAGCAACTTAGCAAGGTACTTAGCAACTGAGAGAGACCCTGTCTCTAATAAAAATATATATATATTTTAAAAAGTCCTGAGGATGTGGCTCAGTGGTTAAGCACTCCTGGGTTCAATCCCCAGTACCAAAAAGGGGGTGAGGGGGCAGAAAGAAGTGGTAGCAGGGAAGGCGGGGAAATCCTCCCGCGTCTACTGCACAGACCTGGGAAAACTGTGCTTTGAGCAACCATAGAGCGAGCTTTTGCAATGCGGGTTGCAATAAGAAGGGAAGCCACCTAGCACGGTAAATGTTCCAAGTGCCATGAACCTAAGGAAGGGGCCCCTGTAGCGTAAGCATTCTTGGATGCACCAAGCATTTGCAGATTTTTCCACTTGCACTCTGACGTGCACTCATTACTAAAAATCAGAAGTTCTTGGAGCTTTCTCAAGAGGCACGTGGAGTTTCTTGCAGCGTGCATGTTAACTTTCACACTGCTCAGCAAACTCGACCCCAAACTCCCGCTCTTGAAATGCAAGGTGGGTTCTAATTTCAAAAACCCAGAGCAGGAACCCTTCCAGCCAAACACTATCTTATCACTAGTCCGACACAGATTTGGGGCGCCAACGGTACAGAATCATATAGTCCTAGGAGTCAGCACCTCCTGGGAGGGAAGAATAGTGTTCAGAGACCAATACATAATAGCCTAACAACTTCACTTTAGCATGCTTTGGCTTTTGAGGGCTCCACATTTACCCCAGCCCTTTCGTTTCCTTCAGGTAAGGAAAGGACAACGCGCCACACTCAGGATTCAGAACATCGAGGTTTGGGTAGAGGAACACGCAGCTAGCACTTCTCCATCCGTTCCTGGAGCTAGTGCGAGGTCTTTCCCCTCGCCCCTAAGTCAATTTAACAACCCAGCACAGTCTCTTCCTCCAATCGGGCACTCCACCCGAGTTGACAATAGTTAAGCTGCAAATTGAAGCCATTTCTCAGCACAACACGCCCAATGCCAGCACCTCGCTCGCACACGCGCGCCCTATTTTATTTAGTCCTGGCCACAAGCGCGCCACCATCAGGACCCACCCACGCAAACTTGATGCACTGCGCATTCTAACAGAGGGCGTCTAACTGGCGTGAGTGCGTACTCTTTGAACCTGCGGGACGCACCGCACTACTATATAAGAAGTGCGACTCCCCCACGATACCAGAAGAGCACCACACAACAGCAGAGGGAAGGACGCGCAGCTTCCTCGACAGTACTTCAGACATGGATCCTCAACATAAGCGCACACACAGGGACACTAATTATCGCGGCATAGGGGCGGATAAGATGGATAAAGAACTAGACGGTCAGTGCTTTAAGGGGACAGGTGCTACAGCGAACTCTAAGAGAGGAACTTTTCCTAGGAAAGGCGCGTGGACAGGACGCTGGCGCAGTCGTCGCCGCAGCTATTCTATAGTGGCCCTTTTCCTTCTCCTGCCCACGCACCTTGGGCTCCAACGCTCTGGTCTTAGTTTTTTGCTTTCCTCCTTTCCTAGATGGGCAGCTTACCGTGATTTCGGCGGTTGTAGCGGGAGGAGACAAGCAAAATACACGGTCCGAACCTGAGCCTGGAGCAGAAGCAGAAGAAGACGGCCTTGTAGCAGACGCACCCGACCCCATTGACGACAAAAACCCTAAGGGCGACAGCGGCCAAGAGCTCGGGCAACAGCTTGAGGAGGCGGCCCCCCCAGCCGCGGAGGGGCCACAGCTCGCGGAGAGGAAGCAGCGCCGCTACCGCACCACGTTCACTCAGTTGCAACTGCAGGAGCTGGAGGGATTTTTCCGTCGCGTCCAATACCCCGACGTGTTTGCAAGGTAAGTGCCTTGTTTCAGAGGCGGCGCCCGTTTCCTTAGGGGGTTCAGAACTCTCCCCAGACCATTTCTCTCTGCCCGGGAGCCAGAAGCCTCCTAGGGGACTTATGGACGGTGGGGGAAGGGGGGCGACTTTGGGAAAGCCAGTGCGGCAGGGTCGGATACCGCCTTTATTTAAATTTTTGGTAATTTGTTAATCAGAGTGTTTTGCATTCCTTTTGATAATTTTTAAATATTGCACTAAACTGTTTAGCCATATTTCTAAGGTTTTTGGAGTTCTTTAGAGTTTGAGACCGCGGGGGACAAGCGCCTTCCTTGCCTCACGCTAGTGCCGGCTTTGCCACAAGGAGCGCTCTTTTCCAAACGTGCGGCGCAGTTTTGAACTTTCCAAAGCCTAGGAGTCCTAGTGGTCCGAACCCGCGTGGATAATGAAGGGGCAGGCTATTCTAACTTGGCTGGAATGAGGGACCAGGACGGGTCGGTGTGGGGAGTGGGGGCGCCCATTCTGACCCTGCTGTACTCAACTTTCTTATATATTTATTTATTTAGTTGTAGTTGGACACAATACCTTTGTTTTATTTATTTATTTTTATGTGGTGCTGAGGATCGAACCCAGTGCCTCACAGGCACTAGGCTAGCGCTCCACCACTGAGCCACAACCCCAGCCCCTGTGCTCAACTTTCATCCGCTAAACAGCAAAAAATAATTTCCATAAGGCACCCATGTGGCTTGGAGTTCACTCTTTGAGAGTTCGCCTCTCTTTAACAACAGACGGAAATATTTTGGTTTAGAGCAGCGCTTGAAAGGTGTTTTGCTTTTTGTTTTTCACAAAAATTTTCTTGGAACCTCCCAAGAAAAAAAATGTTAATGGTCATTTTCTGCTGTTCCACAAACAGAAAAATTCTCATATTCTGCTAATATTACCCAGACTCTTTCACATATAGTCCCTTTTTTCTATCTATATAGATAAATTGTCCTTGGGAAAACCCTCAAAGTGTATTACAGAAGCCAGGCGCGGTGGTGCAAGCCTGTAATCCCAGCTGCTTGGGAGGCTGAGGCGGGAGGATCTCGAGTTCAAAGCCAGCCTCAGCAAAAGTGAGGCACTAAGCAACTCAGTGAGTCCCTGTCTCTAAATAAAATACAAGAAAGGGCTGGGGATGTGGCTCAGTGGTCAAGTGCCCCTGAGTTCAATCTCTGGTACCAAAAAAAAAAAAAGAGTGTATTGCAGAAAACCAGACAGGGAGGTGGGTTTAGAAATAATGTATATCCATATAGTTCACTTTAGCCACAACTCCAAACACTGATCTTTTCAATTTTACCCCCTCAGGGAGGAGCTTGCAGGACGCCTGAATTTGACTGAAGCCAGAGTGCAGGTCAGTAAATCTTGAAAACGCAATTTGGCAGGACGGCCATTCTAAAACATGCTTCAGGTTAGGTTTTGTCACGGAAATTCTCAGTCTGGTGATTTTTGTTTTCTTCTTCAGGTTTGACGAATAAATTTTGGTGACTTTTTGGTTTTAGGTACTTGGTAATCTAGGGCTAAGTGCATGCTAGGCACTCTATGCTCTATCATGGAGCCCCACCTTCAGTCTTCCTCCAGGAGTCCTTTTAGTATGTGTGCTTCTGCATGGTACTGATATAAGCCAGTGGTGAAAATGAGGCTTCCATGTCCCAGCAATACAGGCTACAAAGTTCCTAGAACTGCATGGTCAGGCCCCCCTTGACCTACCACAGACTGTTTAATTCTCAAGAAGTTTCAGAGGTAGAATGAGCCTTTAAACATCCTGGAGAGAAACTTTCCTTGAAGGAAGCCAACATTGTCCTACTTACTAGTTACTTGAGACTAAAGGTAAGCTTTTGTTTTGAATAGGAGGAGTTCTTCTGGATATGACTTGAATTGGACAGGCTTTTTTTTGAAACCATGCTTGGCTTCCCCCACAACCAGGGTGACATTATTCCTGGTGAGAAGGGGCAGGAGCAACCAAGTAGCTAATGATTTGACATTTCTTTACCCTATTTATCAGGTTTGAGCAGTGGTAGCAGGGTCCTGGACCTGGTATAATTCATTACTTAGACCTGTATCGAGGTCTATAAGAAAACCATTAAAGAATTTGAAAAGTAGAATGAGAGAGATACAGCAATGTGCCAAACTCTGAACAAGGAAAGGAAAGAGATGAGCATTTACTCCCTTACGATATTACGGCAAGGGGCTGAGGTTGTGGCTCAGTGCTAGAGTACTCGCCTAGCATATGCGAGGCTCTGGGTTTGAGCCTCAGCACCACATAAAAATAAACAAAATGAAGGTATTATATCCAACTACAACTAAAAAATAAATACTTTAAAAAATATATTAGGGGCTGAGGTTGTGGCTCAGCAGTAGAGCACTTGCCTAGCATATGTGAGGCCCTGGGTTCAATCCTCAGCACCACATAAATATAAATAAATAAAATAAAGGTATTGTGTCCAACTACAACTAAAAAGTAAATATTTTTTAAAAATAAAAAGATACTACAACAATAAGGAAATAGCTTTATGTGTTGCAGTTTAAAAATATCAATGGCATATACAGTTGTATTTTTTTTCTATTATGACTGTTGAATATACTAAACCAATCCCTTTCTTTCCCCTCTGATTGAAGGTTTGGTTTCAGAATAGAAGAGCCAAGTGGAGACGACATCAGAGGGCACAGATGCTCAGAAATATGGGTCCTGTCATCATGGGCCCCCCTATGGGTGTATTCATCAATGGGCCCTATAGTGCTGTCCCTGTTCTGGAACCTGCTTGGAGATATGTTCCTATGATACCACAACCCTATGGGCCCCCTATCCCACCTATGGGACCCTGGCCACCTATGGGACCCTGGCCACCCATGCCTCCCATGCCACCCAGGCCCCCTCTGCCACCCAGACCACCCATGATGCCTATGCCTCCCAGGCCACCTATGGTTCCCTTTGGTCTCGCGCCTGTAGGTGTGGCATGGACCCCCATCATGGATGGTTATTTCGCAGGTCCCATTTTCTAAAGCATGGTCTTCATGATAATTTTTCCAAAATGTTTTTCTGCCACATATAAATTATACATAACACAGCACCAAGAGTTGTTCAGCAAGTACAAGATTAGTTCATCAGACACCTGTTACATGAATTGCACTTATTAGCAAAGTTTAGTGCCTTGTTGTTTCTGTACACTATGTGATTGTATGTTCAATAAAGATGTGTATTCTCAGTATCCTGGTTTTGAATGCCAAATGGTGGTAGTGGGTATAGGAGGGAATTGCTAAGGGAATGTGATTTGAACCGAATGATGAAGAAGCCTCCTTTCATAAGGTAATATTTAATGAGGTAATAGCCCTAAGTCACTATCAGTAGACTGTGCACATTCACAATTTTCTAAGTATCCATGGCAGGTTCATACTGACCCACACATTGTCCTTCCACACCTACTGATCCTCATCCCTCCCATCCTCATTCCCACTTTACCCCATTGGGAGAACATAACATGTCAGTTGGGAAGGGTGCAAGTCTAGTGAGAAAACAGTGTTTCCAGGAAGGAACCTGATCCATTAATGCAAAGGAGCTCAGGCTACACCCTGGACTCTAAGGGAAACTAAGGCTCCTCACAGGCAGTGAAGGTGGCAGCCAAACACTCACCCTGTACTCTAATTCTGTTTACTGTCCTTTGTTTTGTGGAGGAGGTAGAGGAGCAAGAGCCATTCAGAGCCAGGCACAGTGGCACATGCCTGTAATCCCAGCAGCTCTGGAGGCTGAGGCAGGAGGATCGTGAGTTCAAAGCCAGCCTCCGCAATTTATTGAGGTACTAAGCAACTCACTGAGACCCTGTCTTTAAAGTATGAGAAAAAGGGCTAGGGATGAGGATCAGTGGTTAAGCATTCCTGGGTTCAATCTCTGGTACCACCCTCTCCCCCCAAAAAAAAGCTATTCAGGTTCCAAAGATCTGCAAATTCTAAGGTAATGAGAGGGAGTTCCATCAAGAACAGAAAAGGGCTCTTCCTTTCCTCACCTGCAGGCCAGGAGAGCATATTACTGTAGTTTCCTCAGCTAGAAAGCAGACAATTTCACCTTCAAGTATATTTGGTTGCCTTCAACATCCTGGAGAGAATCCTGGTTCCTGCTGATTAAACACTGAAAGGGAACCTGGTTTAGTGCTACTCAAAGCAAGATGTAGTGCCCTGAGTAATGTTGCAGAATAATCACTCATTAGAAAACAAAACCAGGGGCTGTAGCTGTAGCTCAGTGGCAGAGCACTTGCCTATCACATGTGAAGCATTGGGTTTAATCCTTAGCACCTACAAAAAAATTAAAAAACTAAAGTGGGGTATAGGAAGGAAGGCCAGACCCACTTTTTTTTTCTTTCTTTCTTTCTTTTTTTTTTTTTTTTTTTGAAATGAGGATAGAACTCTGGGTGTTTTACACTGAGTTATATCTTCAGCCCTTTATTTATTTATGTATTTATTTTCTTTTGAGACAGGGTCTTGCTAAGTTGCTTAGGGACTCACTAGGTTGCTGAGGCTAGCCTCAAACTAGTGATCCTCCTGCCTCAGTCTCCTGAGTGACTAGAATTACAGGCCTGTGCCACTACACTCAGCCAGCCTCACTGTTTTTAAAACATTTCGTTTTGGCAAAACCTTTGTTTTTGAGCAATTACTAGCAATATATGGTAATTTTATGAATATAAGTCATACTATGAAATGACTGCAGTGGATTCAGATAAGGGTGTCATGATCATGCCAGAATTTTCTCACAGGAGGTGGCAGGGTGGTGGTAGTGGTATCAAGATAAGTTACAATCTGAGTGCAGTGGCATGCACCTGTAGTTCAGCTACTTGGGAGGCTGAGGTAGCTCAGGAGTTGGAAGCCAATGTGTATAGCAAGACTCCATCTCAAAAAAAAGATTTTAAAGATAAATTACACAGCAGTTACATGCTCCCAAATTGAATGGAGGAGGCTGTTTTCTCAGCAAAGTGTATGGGTTTTGCAGTGTTGTCTAATACTTTTAATTCCTTTCTCTCCCTGATTCCACTGTTCACAATGTGGATGTCAACCACCAGCAAAGTGGCTGTATTTATTTATTTATTTATTTAGGTACTAGGAATTGAACTCGGTGGCATTCAACCACTGAGCCACATCCTCAGCCCTATTTTGTGTTTTATTTAGAGACAGAGTCTCATTGAGTTGTATAAGCACCTTGCTTTTGCTGAGACTGGCTTTAAACTCATGATCCTTCTGCCTCAGTCTCCTGCACTGCTGGAATTACAGGCATGCACCATGGTGCCCGGCAAAGCAGCTGTAGTTAATGTGAGACTTCTGCTGCAAAAAGATCATCACTACCCCAGAGGCCCCAGCCTCTGTTGGGAGTGAGGAACATCAAGGAATGCACTCATGCATGCCCACAGCCATCCTCACCAGGTGGTTTTGAAATCAACCATTCTTATTGCTGACCCCTTTACTTCTTGTTAAACTTCAGGTTTCTCAATACCTTAAATCCTCTTGGAACCATAGGATTGGTATAAATACAAGTTCCAGGACTCCATCATGGGCCCTTGCCACCTCAGACTCAAAGCGAAACAGCATCCAGCACACAAATCCCACAGTTAACTCTTATATCCAATCTTACCACACAAACAGAACAGTTTTTTAATCTCAGACTACTAGGAAGAAGTAAAAAATCTGAATACTCTTTTCCATAAGTGGATGAGGTCTTCAAGAGACATTCATACTATTTTAAAAATTATAGGGGCTGGGGTTGTGGCTCAGCAGTCGAGTGCTCGCCTAGCATGTGCAAGGCCCTGGGTTTGATCCTCAGCACCTTATAAAATAAGTAAATAAAATAAAAGCATTGTGTCCAACTACAACTAAAAAATAAATATTAAAAAAATTATATATACTTCTTCTGGGTACCAGATGATTTAAGGAAGTGTGGTAGGAAGAGAACAGGCAATATGCAAAACATTTCTGCAGATAAAATGCCCCCTACCCTCTGCTAGGTTTTAAAAGGAAGACATCTTCTAATATAATCTCATCAGCCAAACATGGTGGGGCATACCTATGATCCCAGCTACTCAGGAGGTTGAGTTAGGAGGTTGCAAGTTTGAGCACAACCTAGGTAACTTAGTGAGATCCTGTCTCAAAATAAAAAAATAAAAAGGGCTGGGGATGTAGATTGCCTAACAAGCATGAGGCCTTGGTCTCTATCTTCAATGCCACAAAAAATAAAATAAAATAATCCCACACAGAGCATTTCTCTTAAAGTACATTCCAAATATCCCTAAGGCATAGATCAGAAGCTATTTTAATATAAGGAAATTCTTTTGATTTATAAAACATCTTTAGAAACTGGCTACCAGCAAATATATTTACCTGTGATAGGTAGTCTTTGAAAATGTTAGTTTTAGCCAAACAGTTATAAACACAATCTCAGGAGAAATGTGAGCAATTTGCAGTAATCTCATAATTCGGGATGTGCTCTTGCTTTCTAAAGCTATTTCACATTGGAGAACACATGCTGGGGAGCTTTCACAACAGTAACTTTCATGGTGAAATTAAGCAGGCAAAAGTGAAGTATTATCAACTATTTGGGGAATGCAAAAAGCTTTTTTATTAAAACTAGATTTCTATAAACTGAATTTTGTTCTACATAGATGTTATCAGAACCTTGGAGATATAACTAGAAAGTGACTGAGAATCAAAATTCTAAGCCATAATTTGTATTATAAGTACTTATAAAAAAGGATAAGAAATGAAGGGACTAGGGCCGGGGATGTGGCTCAAGCGGTAGCACGCTCGCCTGGCATGCATGCGGCCTGGGTTCGATCCTCAGCACCACATACAAACAAAGATGTTGTGTCCGCCGAAAACTAAAAAATAAATATTAAAAATTCTCTCTCTCTTTAAAAAAAAAGAAATGAAGGGACTAGAAATAATTATTTAACTGATAATACAAGGGTTTGCCTTGAGATAAGTATGAAAAGTAACTTTTGAACAAAAAGAAGAGTCACTGTAAATATATACAAAATGTGGAACAAAGTTTTATGTTTTAGTTGTAGATGGACACAATACCTTTATTTTATTTATTTATTTTTATGTGGTACTGAGGATGGAACCCAGTGCCTCACACGTGCTAGGCAAGTGCTCTGCCACTGAGCCACAGCCCCAACTCTTGAAGAAAGTTTTACATGAGTTGTTTCAAAGAAGATACATTTGCCTGAATTCTAACAGGGTGTTATACCTAAAATTGGTCATGTTCTGAGCATATATGGATATACTGTTTTCTACCCAATCATTTGGAGCTGATGAGATTACTCTAGAATTTTTGAGTACCTGAAGGTAAAAATATGGTGCCCAAACAGTGTCACTGTTTTTAAAACAGTGATTCCTGATAGGTAATTCTACTTTGTCTAATTTGAATTATCATAATCCAGGGCCTCCTTTTGATAGAAATGGAGCAATTAGTACAATGGAATTTGGACTGGAGTTCTCAAAACTTGAGTGCAGCATTTCTTGAGAATGTTGCATGAAATTTTTTGAGGGAAATTCATCAAGACTTTCCTAATGCTCCCTCCCAATTCATCAAGGCAGTAGGGTGTCCCGAAGAGAATGATACCTTGCCTCAGCTCTCATGTCCTCTTTCCTAAAAGGTACTTTCTGGTTTTCCTTTGAGATACATTCACACAAGATCATGTTAATTTGGCAAGTGAGACAAATCTTCATGAGTCCTACAGTAAAAGGATGACAACAACAGGAAGCCAGACACACTGTTTTATGCTGCCCTCCTGAGCAATGGGCCTTTCTTTTAGGGGACACCCAATTTAAAGGGAGAACTCTAGTGGCTTTCACAGTCACCCAGTGTATTCCCTTCACTTTACAGATAAGGAAGAACATGTGCACATCAGGAATGACCTGTCCTAGATGGCAGGCAGATTCATCCCAGAGAAGGCCAGCATCTGTGTGGTCATGTCCTTCCCACCCAGGGCCCAGGACTGGCCAGCTAAGTGCAGTGCACACCA